ACCACAAAGCCCAAAATTGTGTCTGTACGGTCTACAGAATACTTACTGGCTGGAACAATGAAATCTCCATGTAACTCATAGGTCATGAGAGGTTCTGGAAGACTCCTATATGAAAAGAACAGCTCAGAATTAGCAGACAAATCCAAACAGGTCACCCTTGTGTTTATTTTCTTTATAAAAGGGTGTTAAATTTGTTGTGCATTTCTTAGCTAATGTGGAAAAGTTCTCTAGGCAATACTGTTACCTATAAAAAAAGATACACAAATCAAGTGGGTCACTTTTTTAACTATTTGTACCAGGTCTATCAAAGCTCAAGCAACCACAAATTCCTTACAGCTATTTCATATCTAATCTTGGAAAGCACCTTTATGAACATCTGGCTAATGTATGTGACTGTCTTCCACACACATATTGAAAAGTAAACATTCTATCTAACCAAATATAAGTATGTAATTTTGAAAAATCATCGTTAAGATGTTAATTAAATGAACCATAAAAAAATACATAGCAAAGGGCTAGGGGTAATCCATTAGTAGTCCCTGGGGTTTGATCCCTAGCACCACAAAAGAGAGACAGAGACAGACAGACAGAAACAGAGAGAGAGAGAGATTAAGCAAACCAAATCCTCTTAAGTAACTCCAATATAAAACTTTTATTTCTGCCTATGTGATAAAAGAAATATGAAAAAATGGATGACTTAACTTATGCCTAGAAAGAAAAATATATAAAATTAAACCAGTGACTTAATATACATGGCATTTTAATTTTCTAGAAAACAAATTACATAAATGGTAGTATATTCTATCCTGTGATCAATAGACCATTACAGTTTAATAAACCTTGTTAGTATCTTAAATTTCACAAAACCAGATATCCTATTTTTATAAAAATGTAGAGAACACTTAGACAAGTATCAATCTGCACAGCTTTTCTGGAGGTTAATCTGGGAAGACACTAAGAACTTTTCAAAGGCCAAAACCCTGTAACCCAGAAATTTCTCTTCAAATGTTTAAAACGAAAATCAAGGATGCACTCATACAGAAATATCAAACATATGAAAAAGCCAAGAATACTACCAGGGGCACAAGTCATTTAATATTGATAAGAAGTTCAACTCTTCAAGAAGCTA